AGTATTTAGGTGAGTGGATTTAGGTTTTAATGTAATTGTTCAACAAGATAAGCTTCAATAAGGGGGGGAGGGAGAGGGCTGTCCAGCCTAATTTCTGAAGTAGTTTCAGCTACTCTGACCCATTATAAAAATTTATGAGGCCATTATAAAAGCCATAACATTCTAAAATCTGTCAAAACAAACAAACAAAGAAAACCTCCTAAATGAAACATTGCTTTGAAAACTCTATTTGTACTTAGTCCATGCTCAGGTGTTTCACTTTTAATCTTAACAAATAGCTTAGGTGTGGAATTATGATCAGGTTACTCCTCTTTTCTCCTCCCCTTGTCTTACCATCCTTGCTAAAACCCCAGCTTATCAGTAGCTATTGTTGAGCTGTCTCATAACCTTGGTAGCTGCACTGATTGTGGGGCTGTGCCACGGGCATGACTTCTCCTGGAGTGGATGTTTGGCATTCTTTGGGCAGCAGCTCCTGCGGGATGCCACAAACTGACTCACGGTGAGCTCAGCCCAGAGAGCCCATCCCCTGCTGTGATTGTCTGCAGGAAATAACCAAGATGACAGCCTAATCGATCACATCTTTGGCCTGAGAACTGGGGCACCCCAGGAAGAAAGCCCAGCATCTCTGCCACTCTTTCTATTTGTTGCCCCATTGCCCCATCCCTTTGCCAGAAGGGAACAGAAAATCCAGCGTGCAAAAATCAAAATGAGGTTTGTGAAATCAGCTGGGGCGTGAGCTTGGGAACCAGAGCTTTTGCATATTCTTCTTCTGTGAAAATGAAGGGTGTTCCAAGTGCTCTGTGGAGGTGGTGCTGGGGATGAGCTGTGCAGAGTGGAGTCACAGAATCCCTGTGTGTGCTGAGCACGAGGTGCTGGTCACTCTCAGCAGCTGGGGAGGGGACAGACTGACTGACAGACAGACTGACAGACTGCTGCTCACTGTCCCACCCGCCTCTCCTCCAGAGCGATGTGTGGCCCTTGTCACCCGGCTGCAGGGATGATAGGTCCCTGTGCTTGGAGGAAGTGAACAAGCCGCTTGCCGCTCATTACTCTGGTGCCTGTGACTGCTTTGTGCCTTCAGTGTCCAGCAGGAGAGAGATTTTCCTGCGAGGCACAGCCCCCTGTAGGTGGCAGGGAGGTAAACGAGGTCATCCTCTGAAACCCGCTAAGGCTTCTAATTTTACACAGCCTCCAGTGCCCAGAGGGCAGAGGCATATTCAATTTACATTAATTAGCAAGTCTTGGTTATTCATCAGAATAAATGTTTTTGAGTGTTAAGAATAGCTCCTGTCTTAGTGCTTCCTCCTATTGTTGCAGCTCTTCCTTGAGCAGTGGAAATGTTTTGGGTGATTTGAATTACATTTACAGTAGTAATTAGGTGTAAGCAACTTTACAGTTGACTTATCTGAATATACATCTGTGTCTAAAGAAAGCATGACTTTTTTTTTTCCCCCTACCCCACCTCCTTCATTCTCCCAAGGCAGGACATTTTCAAACAGGGTGGGCAGCTGGAGATACTGATATTTATTGATACTGATTATTGATCCTCCAGCTCCCTGGGCATCCTCCCAGCAGGATGACAGATTAGCTCTTGTCTCATGCAATAAAGTCATGAGTGGAAACACTTTGTAGGGCCTGAGTGTTGCTGTTTCTTGGCAGCTCTCTTCCTGTGAGGTGCTGGTTTTCTCTCTCAGCTCAGGCAGAGCAGAACCAGATGTGTGGCAGGCCCAGCTGCTGGAGCTGCCACCTTACCCAGACCTGACTGCAGCTCACTCTGTGCCCCAGTCACAGCCTGGCTGCTGCTCCCTGCCAGACTGGCAGCAAGCTGGGCCTTGGATAATCTCACTGATTTGGTGACTCCAGAAACTGGAATAATCTCTTAATCTCACTGAGTCTCTGTGATGGATAGCCAGCACCACTTGAGGATTTCCTTATGTGGTGGATTGAACAGGAATAAATGATTTTTAGGTTTTCCTAACACTATGTACCCTCAGAATAAACCTGAGATAGAAAGAATTGAAGAAGTTTTCCTACTCCACATTGCAGTGTGTTACTTGCATTCATTTTTCAGGGTAACAAACTGATTTTGGGATGCTTGAAAAATGTCAAGCTGCCATAAGATCTTGCAATGCAGCCCCTGGATGTTTTATTCCAGCTGACCTGAAGGCTCTGATGCCCAGCTCTGCCAGGCAGCTCTCCCAAACTGCAGAGAGTTCCTCCAGCCTTTAGGTCTGCTGAAATTCCTGACTATCCAAAAGCATGTTGGATGTTTTTCCACCTCCTTTTGATCCTGAGAAAGTCAGGCCAAGTCATGTCAGCTTGGCAGGATGTGTGGATACCTTCAGAAATAACTGAAGTGGTGACGGTAACAGCGCTGGGTCTGTTCCCGTGATTCATTTGAACTAATTGGCTGCTGAGAGCATCATATGTCTCTTTGTCTCCATATTTGAGTAAGATTCAGCTCCTGTGATCCAGATAATCTTATCCTAGTGAGCTTGTCTCATCTCTAATGATGCCAGGAAGACTGTCCTGGAGCATGAAACACGCTGGAGAGCTCAAAACCAGAGCTGGAATATTTATCCTGATTCACTCTGAAAAAGCAGACTCAGCTGGCCTCTATTCCTCCACCTTTTTTCTCACAAGCACAATCTAGGAGATAAACTCACTGATTACTCCTCTCAAATGCCATGAATAACTGAAGGCCAGACAGGAGTGGAGATGTGAAAGGCTGTAGTGCAACTGTTATTATCCACAGAGATCAGAAACTTTCAGCAGTGCTGTGTACTCTTTGTGTGAGTAATCAAAGCTGAATGTACTCTTAAAGAATTCTGTCTTCATCTGGATGCTTTAAATTTGCTCAGTTGTGCAACAAGCCTGGCTGAGTTATTGCTACTGCATGAGAAACCTGAGGATGAAACTGCCTGGTACGAGTGTCTGGCAGGCTGTGTCTGTAAATTGGCCCATTAAAAAGGATGATCAGCTGGCTGCTGGAATTATTAAAAGACATTTAATGACAAGGGACACCACTGAGGGACAAAAGAAATAAAGTTATGGGCTGTGGTGCCCATCTATTTGCAGTGCTGGCAGGTTAGAGGTGATTTTCTATCCAGGAGAAGGAATGGCCTGGAACCCAGCCCCTTGTTTCAGGGCAAGGTGTGCTCAGTGGGGAGTGGTTTGGAAAGGCTGAGTGTTTTCTGGGGAGAACAAAATGCTTTTCCAGTTTTGTAAAAACAGAAAGCAAAGAGCAGTCACATCTTCTCTTATAGATGTTTTTGTGGTCATCCCTCCTTGCTCTCCCCATGTCTCACATCCTGAGCAGTGTGTGTGGTCACACATGATGGTGACACTTCTGCAGCAACTGCAGTCTGTGTAGCTGCAAAAAAGGATGAAAAAAAAAATCTTTAATTTGCTTTCTGTGTGTTCCTACAATTTTCATAAGTGGGTGAATTTTTATGATGGATAGTAGGAAGGAATTGTTCCTTGTGAGGGTGGGCAGGCCCTGGCCCAGGGTGCCCAGAGCAGCTGGGGCTGCCCCTGGATCCCTGGCAGTGCCCAAGGCCAGGCTGGACAGGGCTGGGAGCAGCCTGGGATGGTGGAAGGTGTCCCTGCCATGGCAGGGGTGGCACTGGGTAGTCCTGAAGGTCCCTTCCAAACCACTCTGTTCCACCTGCCTGTGTGTGATTCTGTGCTGCTGTAAAACCTGTGGTCTCTGGGTTTTGTAAGAACTGAACTTCACAAGCTGGCACTTTCTGTGGCTGATCTTTGAGGCTGGTGTAGGAGGAGCTATGTGGATAAACCTGAGTTTTGAATTACGGCTGGAGGAATGAATTTTACAGGAATTGTGGGTAAGGAGGAAAAGAGAGGAAATTCCCATGGATACTTTTGCATAGTTGATGTGGGGAGTTGTAAATGCCCCAGACCCAGCACCTTCCCAGTGCCAGCCCCAGGTCTGAAGCTGGGCAGTGAGGCAGTGTTCCTGCAGCAGCAGGGTGAGCTCCAGCAGGCTGGGGAAATAGCTGTGTGAGAAGGAACAAAACCAAGATGGGCTCTTTTATGATGAGGGATTGTCTCTAAAATAGCTCCTGCTGCTCTTTAAGCTGTCAGAGGCAAAGCAGGCTGAGCTGTAGACCCAGCTTTACTGGGAATATGGCAAACACAGAGTGGGATTGTTACTTGTGCTGGATGAGCTTTGTGTGCCTTCACTAAAAAACTTAAATAAGTTACTCATCCCTTTAACTTTGGGATTCTGAATAAAAACTGCTAGAAGAAAGGAGATGTACTGAAACACTGTAGGAGAAAAACAAGGAAAGAGCAAAACCTGTCAGGAACAGCTACAGGGCATCCGCTTGCTTTAACCCTTTCCTCACTTGTGCCTTGCTTGTCGATGAGATTTTTAAAGAATAATCTGGATCTTGCCAAATATTCTCTGTGGGTGTTACAAGTTTACACTGCTCTTTCAACACCAGTGTCTTACATCCAGCTGGGCTTTACTCACTGCTCAACTATGGCAAGAAACGCTGAATTGCTTCTTTAATAGGCGCTCAGGTTTGGGGTTTTTTCCCCTGCCCTCCCCACGTCTCCGGGGGGGAGATATTCTGAACAGATATTTTGTTCTTTTCTTGATGTTCTCTTCGAGTACAATGCAAAGGAGCATTGTAGACTTGAAGAGAACAGAGACAGACTTGACTCCTCCTCCCAGGCTGCGTTTGGGAGTTCCTTTTTCGCGTGGGCTGAGGCTCACGTTAATGTTTAGCAAGCCCAGGCTGCAGCCCAGCCTCGGGAACAGCTCGCTGCTATTTTCTGCTCTCTGGTGCTGCCTGTGGGCTGTCCCCCGTGCCCCAGCGTGGGTGGCTCCGCCTCGGGCAGCGCTGCTTGAGGGCTCGGCTGGATTTACTGTCACTCCTGCCGGGGCGGGGGGACACAGGCGGGGAGGAGAGGATGCTCCATTGTCACCTCAGCGTGTGCTCAGCGCGGATGGACTGACCGCCACCCTGCTGGACATGGACAAGCGCGGCACGTGTGGCTCCAGGATGGCCAGGGGGGTGCTGGCACCTGTGCGGGCAGCCAGCTGTGCCCAGCTGCTCAGCAGGTACCGAGTGTCCCCTGGTGCACGGGGTGGTCCCGGCTGCTCTGCTCCCTAAGGCGGGGCACCTGGGATGGGGTGGGTGGAAGCAAGGTGAATTTCTAGAGGTGAGCAGGCTATTGTGTGTTCTTAAAATAGTGCTTTGAGTGCCCTGATCGTGAAATGAAACCTGTGGAAATTCCCTTTCTTCTTCCTCATGCTAAGCCTACGAAAATCCCTGTTCTTTTCTCTGTGCTCACTCTGGGGTGAGTGCAGCAAGCTGGGGAAGTGGGACCCGAGGGGCTGAAATGCTGCCCTGTGACCCAGTGTAACCTGCCTTGGGGTCTGCCAGCTCTTCGGGGCTTTGTGCATCTATAGGAATGTAAGAACTGCTGATTTATCATGCAATTAGTGGAGAATAGAACTGAAATTTGAACTGCTCTGCTTGACAAACACTGTTCTGCTTGTGTGTTTACTGGATATTATATGAGTTGAGAATTCAGCTAAGGTGTATTTGCATCAGTTGAGAAGTTTGCATTGAGTTTTAGAATGTTTCCTTGCTGTAGTGGTCAGAATCTGTTGATTTTGGGTGAATGTGCTGGCAGTGATTTTACTTCTAATCACAGCTCACATTTTCATGTATCTGTCTTAGTTGTCATTTTTTCCAGTCCAATTTGATGACACTATGCATTCAAAGCAAGGCAGGAACTCTTTAGAAGACCCCAGGCAAAATCTGAGTTGTGAAATAAAAAAATTAATAATAATTGTAGGGGGACAGACACAGAAATGATATGGTAAATTACTTTAAAATTACCCACGTGGAAGAGAACGAGATTGAAACCTTCAGTGTTGCAGGCTTTCTTTGATAAAAATCAAAATATTTGTTAACGAGTTAAGGCTTTTGCCAAACAAGTTAGTTGAGTTCCAGTGCCTGTGCTGCTGCCAGAACACCTCTGTGGTCAGCTCTGAGGAGGTGCTGCAGCAGGAATCTCAAACTTGCTCACCAACTTTGCCCCAAACATTGAACCCCAGCCAAGAGGCACTTCCCACCTGCTCACTCAGGACTCACCACAGGTGAGGTGTCTGTGTGTTTATGTGTAGCTAAGCCTCTTGCCCAGGATTGACCTAAAACTTACCTGTCCAATAGGGCAAGGATATGCCAGCCTGCTTCTAATTAGTTGGCCGTAATCAGGGCTTATTTTTGGTCAGCAACTCTGACGTGCTCATTGAGTTCCCAGTAAGATTGCTGCTGGTTTGCAAGGGGCTGGTGGTGCTGCCATGGAGCAAAAGCCACTGCTGAGCCAGATCTGCCTCCCTCCTCCTCTTCCTCTCAAAGCTTATGGGACCTGGGGCTGCTCACGGGCAGGGCTGGTGGCCCTGGGCTGGCTGGTGACACTCCAGTAACAGAATTGGTTATAAATCCCAGCCAAGGGCTTTTCATGGCAGGGTAAGCCAAGCACTTTGTGTTATGTGTAATAACTCTGCCCTGAGAAATCCAAGTGAGGAGCTGATGACTCCTCCCTGTCTTCCTGCATCCCTGAAGCCCTCGTGAGTGAAGCCTAGCTGGATTCCAGCACACCTCTCCACCCCTCCTTCCCCTGTGCTGCTCAGCACGTCACTCTTGTGGCCTCTCCAACATCTCTGAGCTGTTCTCATGCAGCTGAGCAACAACTTGCAGTTACTCATTCTGTGCTCTAATGCAGCTACAGCTGGTAGAGGGGGCTAGAAGAAGAGATAAGGATGAGTTCTATCACCCTGATTTACTCCAAGTTGAGAAGCTGTAGGACAAGTGTTTGAGTGTGAACCTCCTTCAGTAAAAGGCAATGAATGATCACACAGGAAATACGTTCAGAGCCTTTCCATAGTGGATTCAAACAGCTGGCAGCCTTTTCTCTGGAAACCAAGGTGTCCCTCAGCCCTTGGTCCCTCAGCTGAGTGTCTGAGGTGTGCACAGGCTGAGCATCTCACTGAAGTCCCATCAGAGATGGCAATAAAGGCAAGGTGCCTCAGCTGGTGTAACGGGAGTGTGTTTTGGGGATATGTGCAGTGACTGGGAGGTACTGACTCATTGGCCTCAGCAGATCCCTGGCAGAGAGTGCTCGGGGCTGTGACAGCAAAGGCACCACAAGGCAGTGGTTCCCTGCCAAAGGGCAGTGGTTCCCTGCCAAAGGGCAGTGATTCCCTGCCTGCTGCTCTCCTCGTGGCACTCCTGTGCTCAGCCCGGGGCAGCTTCTGCATGGGAGAGGGGAGTGGGTGAGGACAAGATGTGGGAGCTATGGGGCTGTGGGGTTTGTAGCCCCATGCCAGCTGCGCTGAGGGGTTTGGGATCCTGGTGCCATACTGATAGGTGGAATTGGAATGGCAGAGCAGGTCCTTGTGGACAAGGACATGGACAAAGCTGCTGGCGTGTTTAAATGGACATGGATTCAGTGGAGATGGAAATGGGGTTAGGAATGCCACCTTTTAATTAAAGACTGACATCTAATCATCCTGTAGATCAGCTTCATCAATTCACAATCACATCAAGGATCCCAGTACTACTGAAGATTTGTTTTGGCCAGGTACCCCTTTCTCCCAGCAGGATTTCCCTTTGGATGAAAGCCCTTTCCTGTTTGGCTTACCCTGCTAATGCAGGGAAAGTGAACAACAGGCTGGTCCACTGTGACCTTACAGTCAAACACAAAGCCATGCACAGGGAGGATGGGTTGTGTCTTCTGAGGCCAAAACAAGCCCTGGTGTGGTGGGACAGACACACAGCTAATAGTGTAAGCTAAACATGGCTTTGAATATTTTTAATTTGGCTGTATCTGCATGGGGTTATCAATCCTGTTCTTGTTCTGCTCTGAGTTTCAGTCAGAGATGCCTTGAGGCAGATCTGTAATTAAAGGCAACTTTCCCTATTCCTTAGCTTGCTTATTTCGCCCCTTACTACATGGAGAAGAGACAAATCAATTCCAGATGAAGGCCTGAGACAAGAAAGTAGAGATGGAGTTTCTTTGCCCTTAAATACTTTGATAGAGACCCTTATTGTCAGGAAAGTTACAACCTGTGCTTTAGTTGAGATCCAAAGCTGTGGTGGAGGTAACAGAATCATAGAATGCTTTGGGTTGGAAGGGACCTTAAAGATCATAAAGTTCCAAACTGATCCATGGGAAGGGATGCCCAAGATCAGATCAGGTTTCTCCAAGCCCCGTCCAACCTGGCCTTAAACACTTCCAGGATGGAACATCCACAGCCTCTCTGCACCAGTGCTCCACCACCCTCTGGAGTTTGTGCAGCACAGAAAACACTGCAGGTGCCAGTCTGAAGCAGTGGGATACACACAAGCCTCAGGATTCACATCTTTTACTCCACACAGCCCTGGGCAAAGGTTTGCTGCTTGCTTTATCTGCTCTCACTGAGAATGCCAGGACGGGAGGTGAGGCTGCTCTTCCTCACTGCTGCACTGGGGCACAGCTGCAGCTTTGGGAATTGCTGCACACACAGAGCAGGATCTGGCATGTCCTCTTTATCACTTGCAGAACAGGCTTCTTCAAAACAACCTGAAATGACGCTGCTCCCCGAGCTGCTTGCATAATGGCAGATCTTGATGAGCTGATTGCTGTGTTACTGAAAACAAGCTGTAATCTTATTAGCAAATTGTGGCACTGCCATCTTAACTATTCTCCCTGGTGCTGTAGAGACAGACCTTCAACTGTGCCATCCCACGTGGGCAAAGTCCTTGATAAAAAATGCCTTAATGGGGACAGAAGTGGGGGTTGGCAGCAGTGCTGGACAAAACAGCCTGGGCTAAAGGCACTGTGACTTCTCACAGGGGATACTCAGTGAAACTATTAAACATGTGAGCAAATCTCTGGTCAGAGATATGCAAAGGTACATCAGCAGTAGCAGACTGCTAAAGCTAAAATTGCTTTAATTCTGGCTCTAGCTGCTTTGGTTAAGGCAGGGAAAGGAAAGCATGGTGAGAGTCTGTTGGGTAAGTTACTGTTCACTGCCACTGCAGTAATTTGATAATTAGCCTCTCTTTGCTTTTATGGCCTGGGCTGAGGCACCTGAACCAGCTATGTGCTTTCCATTTTATCTCAATAATAAGCCTTAGGAGGTCTTTTCTGCATATTGTTGTGGGGAGAAGGGAGGAATTGGTAGTGGTGTTCATGTACAAAATTTGGGTATTTTGAGAGTTACTAAGCCAGGCATTAAAGATTTGCAGTAGGGCTTTCTTCTGGTTCAGACCTTTAGTAGAAAAGTTGTGGAATTTTTGTTCATGAGGCATTTCCTGCATAAAATTGCTCTCTGTGGTTTTTGTGTAGTTCTGTGTGTCTCAATGAAATAGTGATCATGTGTATTTCATGTAAGATTTTGATAATGAGTAGACTGACTTCTTCCATACAGGAGCCTGTTTTTATATTTGCATTGATAATTTTGATAAACTGAAGTTTAAACCTCCAATAAGAAAAATAGTTACAGCTATTGAAAACATCTATGGAAAAAAAAAAGGCATATGTATGAGTTACTGCTTCAGGATTTTCTCCGTTTTTTGAATACTCCTGTCTGTTATTCCTGGGTGCCTTTATCCCACTACATGATTTTAAACAAGAAAACTGAGTATGCTATGAACTGCTGATCTTTAGGTGACTTTTTTCTCTTCAGAATTAACTACATTTAAAAACATTTAATTAAAAACATTTCATTATTTAGATTTAAACTGCATGCTTAGGGTAAGAAACTGGAAGAATGTGAGGAGAGCCTGCATGGACTTTTTGGTTGTTTGTTTCAAGTTTTTGCTTTTGTGCTCGTGAGTTGTTCTTGTTCTTGAAGTAAATTGAAAGCAGGTAGGACGTGCATGGTCTGACATTAATACAATTTTGTTCTCTCACTAAGGGTCCTTATTTGTCAAAATACTGCAACCAGTTGATAGACTAATCTCTCTTTTTCTTTTTTCTTTTCTTGCAAGATGCTCGTGTTCCATGCTCATGGTCTGGGTTGTTGTGAATGATGCTGTGACTTGGTGTGCTACTCCAAAGCTGCTCTTGAGGCTCATTCAGACTTTCTGTTTCTTTGTTCCATATGTGCCTTTGTGCTTGCTCCAGATCTTTGGAAAAGTCTTTAAAGACTGGGTGCTGCTTGTGTGGCAGGACTGCCTTGTCTGCCTAAATTCTGTTCTTGTTGCCTTCTTCTCACCTTAGTTTTCTGGAAGCAGAAACTTAAAGGAATTCCATTTTCTTGGCTTCCACTTGTTGCCTCCTGGTCTGTTTGAAATGCTTGAGAGGAAACCTTTTTATTTATTCATCTGCTAGAGAGGTATTTCAATGAGGGAGGGATGTTGAGCAAGCAGAAAAGAAGCCCAAGCAGCTCCAGGTCCTTTGAGAAACTCTCTCATGGGAGTGATTCAAGCCTGGAGTGAACATAGCAACAGTGTTTATTGTATTATGGTATTCAAGAGGGTGAAGAATTACATGAGTGTTTGCAACATATTTGCAGTGTGTTGACAGTATCTAGGAACAGATCAAAAACTCCTCTGGGGCTGCGTTTTGCAGCCCAGGGTCAGTGAGCCCCCAGCACTGAGCCAGGCATGCAGAGCTCCCAGGGATCCTCGTGGAGGGCACATGGAGAGGGAACAAAACAAACTGTAAGCTCTGTGCCAGCCTAATTCCTCACAGCTGTGCTGCTAATGCTGTGAAGCCAGGCTTAGGCTGAAGGTGCCAGGTGAAGCTGGAGCCTTGTTAAAACTGGCTGTGCTCTTAACAAGAGGAGAAATTTGAATTAAGATGCTCAGTCTTCCCACAGAGCCCTTCCTGTATGGCTGTCCTCAACAAGATCTTTCTGCCAGTCTCCTTTTTTGTTGGGTTAATTTTTAAAGCTTCATAATCTGATGCTTTTTGCTAGGTTGACAGTGCAATGGAGTGGACTTGATTATTCCACCTCCTCTTTGCCCAGTTGCACTGAGCCATTAACATTTGAAGCCAACAATCTCTGCTTTCAATCTCAGCTGTTGCTGTGCTGGAACGTCACAGGCTGCCCTCCAGTTGACTCGGGTATGCAATGAGGAAGAACAATCTTTTAGGTGCACTGAGTCTAAAATTAGCCTTCCACCTGGGCAGCTGGATCTGCAAAGCACTGTGCACTGAGTTCAAGGAAAAAAAAAGGAATTTAGATCAGAAAATAAAACATTTTCTAAGGGTGAAGGTCTGATTTTTGTTCTCCTGTGAGACAGGAGCAACAGCTCTAGTTTAACACTGGTAGAGCTGGGCTCTGGGTCCTGCTGCCTCTCTGCAGAGCTGCTGTGTGATATCAGCATCCTGCAATTTTCTGAAAGCAAATCTAGTGCAGCAGTAAATGGGCCAGTTGAGGGGGAAAAGTTAGGATGGCTTTTGTTTGACACACAGGTAGCTCAGCTGTGGCTTCTTAGAGTAGGTTTATTGTGTGACTGGTGGGCTTTTGGTGCAAGCAGTCCAAGAACATCTGTATTTCCAGCTGTGGAAGGAAGCCAGGGAACTGTGGATGGTGAGGAGCACAGTCAGGGTGGGATGGGGTGCAGCAGTTCCCTGTTTGGCAAAACTCTCTCCTTGCACCAGAACTCTGAGATATGGACTGAAGGTAGACCAGAACCAGCTCCTGGCAAGGGCATAGCCTGAAACCTGGGCTGTGAGGCCTTTATTGTGACCCTTCTCAGGTGTGCCCCAGGAATATGCCCTAGTGCCTTACACAAATAATGCTCCCCTTGGAGTAACATCTCCTGGGATGTAACTGGCATTCAGAGCCTGGTGTCTGGGTCAGTCATGCAGAAGATCTAAGTCAAGAGCCACCCTTTGGAAAGAGCTGAAGATTTTATTTATGTTGGCTTAAAATGGTGTTGTTTTTTCCAGGCAGGCGTGGGGAAGGAATTGTCACAGCCGTGGGTGACACAGGCTTGTCACAGAGCACACTGCTGGGTGCAAGCTGCTGGTCAGGTCTGGGGCAGGTTCTGCTGGAGCTGCAAACCTCAATTCTGGTTTGTGTTGAACCCTGGAGATTTCTGGGGTGTTTTGAGCCAGCTCCAAACCAGGCTGAACACAAAGGAAAGGTGCATTTTGGAGGTGCTTTAATCTGTATAACCTAGATGCCATGGGAATATAGGACAGTAACTTAAGGCAAGAAGAGTTGTTTTGTGCCTGCTGCAAGCCTGCAGTGGAGCAATTAGGAGAGCTTGTAAGATGGTTCCTGAGTGTTGGGCACTGGGAGACTTCTTCAGTGCAAGTTTGTCTTCCAGTGGTCCTCATATGGCCAAAACCAACTCTCTCAAAATAATCTGAATTCCTCCTTCCACTAAGTTTCATGTTTCAAGTGATGAGTTCTGTTGACTGGTTCATAATAGAAACCTAGCAAGGTGTTGAAGAGTCTTTTTTGATGCTAGCAAGGTGTATTTGTTTAAATCTAATCTTATGAGATAATTGTCAGCAAATGTGAGAAAATGGAGAGGAGTACTAAAGCTGAAGAGTGAAGGTGAGGGATGCAATATAACTTTTTAACTCCTAACGGGTAAAGATAGAAGTAAAAGGTTGAAAAGAGAGAAAATAAATTGAGTTAGTAGGTGCAGTGGAACTGAGAGTTGGACACGAACTGTGCAGGTAAAAAATAAGATTTGAATTGACTATTTAAGTGCTCCACCAGGGTATAAATTGGTATCTTGAGTGTTATTTGGGTATCCAGAAACAGGAAAGCAGATTGCCTCTGTTCTTGCCTGCTGGGTGGCAGAATAGCTCAAGTCAGTCTTTCACTTTTGTCTTCCTGTCAAACAAACAAGCAAACCCCTTCGGTTCTTGTTCTAAACACTGTGGCTGTCTCCAGATGTCTCTGGAGTGATGCTTTTGCTGTGGTTCTGACCTCCAGAAGAGAGGGGCTGCCTCTGTGTGTTAGAGTGAGGTGTGAGTGTGATGTACATGCATGTGTGTAAACACAAGTGCAGAGTGTCCTACAAAGTTTGCCTCAGTTATTAATCTTCAAATTAGCTTTTTAAAACTTGAAGTGCTCCTCAACTGAAGCAAGTTAGTGCCAGAACTGCTAATAATGGCTTTCTGGAATGAAAGGGGCTAAAACTTTCCAGATATTTTGCCATCTTTAACTTTTGGCTCTTAGAGCTAGGAGGCTAAATAGCATTTTGTGGGTGTTTAGTTGTCATGGTTTTCAAGGTGTAAGACTTAGACTTGATTTTTTTTTAATGAAACTATAAAGGAATTTTGGCCTGTGTTTGGTAGTGGTGGCTGTTCATGTGTGTTTCTTGAACCACCCACAGTTAGTGTTTCACCTCTTTAATTTTTATATTCATCAGTGGAACCATTGAGGTGTTCTCATATGTATGTTCCACTTACCCCATTTTTTGGTAAGTCTTTGAAAAATAGCAGGGTTTAAATAGCTTGGAACTCTTTGAAGACAATTATAGCTCATTTTAGGAGAGGTACTGTTTTATGAAGTGATGAGAAGCTCAGAGCACCAGGGCTGAAAGCTGAATGAGGCCAGTCTGGGACTTCAGCTGTGCATGAATGAATCAGCAGGGTGGTAAGAAAATTCCATATGCTTGGCTTTCCCAGGACACCTCATGTTGTTTCACAGCTGAAAAATCTGGTCTAGGCAGGAAAAGGGGGCCTCAGCCCTGTGAGTTGTTTGTTGTGTGAGCTGAAGTGCAGGGGATGGAGCTGCGCTGGTTTTTGCACAGGGAGCACAAACCTGCTGGGTTTGGGCTGCTGTAGTGGGAGCTGCCAGGCTCCTCTCTGTGCCAGGTCCTGGAGCACACATGCACTGAGCCTGGAGCATCCTGGGTGGCTGGGAATGCAGAGGGTGTCTGTGCAAACTTGCAGGGAGGTCTTGCAGTGAGTGTGGGGTGGTAGGTGGTGTGTTGGAGGTCACAGGAGGGACAGCACTGAAAACACTCTGTTGATCCGTGTCCTCTCACATGTTTGGACAGCAGTTTTCCCCATTCTCTGGGGGATTTAGTCCCAGCCTTGTCTGTATTGCTAAACACCAAGCAGAGGAAGTTCAGCAGTTACCTCTGTTTGGCTTTGCTGCAGTCATTAATCAGTGGAGGCTGGACACAAATGCCGTGTGCAATATGTGGAGCTTAATCTCTCTCCCCTTATCTCTTCCTCTCTCAGCAGCAGACATTGCCCTTGGAAAATGAACCAGCTTCCTCCAAAGAGTGCTGTGGCATCCCCTGTGTCAGAGAGCATGAATTCCAGGGGAGAGGCTTTGGACAACTTGTCAATGGACAGTTTTTGGCTGGAAGTGGAGAACATTAAACAGAGCGCTGAAGCCGAGCAGGAGGAATGCAGCCTTGCAGATGTCAAAACACAGGAGGGTAGGTTGCCAAAAATGTTGGGAGTGAGGAGAGGAATGTGAACATCTGAAAGAGAAGATTTGCTTATGCACCTGAACGACTCAGAAGCATGTTGGAGTATGGTTAGAATATTATCAGTCAATCAGGGATAGAGATATTATTTTAATTGGGTGGTGGATGATGCCCTGCAGAAGGAGAGGGTTGGCCTGGCCTGGTTTCGGCTTCTGGAGCAAAGCAGACTCCAAAAGTCAGTCCCAGGAACATGTTCAAGGCTCCAGGTTTTTCAAGCAGCCCCAGCAAGGGTGGGGGCTCTCAGTGCCAGCTCAGGTGGTGTATGGTAAACACTCTGTGAGAGCTGGGGCTGTTGGTGTGCATGGTTCTGAGATTCATCATAGTGGCTTTTGTGGGAGCTGCTTCTGTGGAAGGCTGACTGTTCCCTCTCTAATTCTCTATTCCAAAAACCACAATAAACATCCAGAAAGCCTTGAATCCATCCACACAAGGTTTTTCCTGCATATCCTTTTTTTCTTTCTTTGGCAGAAATGTGTATGGGTTGTTTCTAATGCACTTTCTGGAGCACTGATGTTATCCAGTGCTTTGGAATAATTGGAACCTGGGCCAGTTATTCCAAAACTTTTGGGATATGTTTTCCTTCTATAGAATCACAGAATGGTTTGGGTTGGAAGGGACTTTAAAGCCCATCCAGTACCAACCCTGCCATGGACACCTTCCACCTATCCCAGGCTGCTCTAAGTCCCATCCAGCCTGGCCTTGGGCACTGCCAGGGATCCAGGGGCAGCCAGAGCTGCTCTGGGCACCCTGTGCCAGGGCCTGCCCACCCTCCCAGGGAAGGATTTCTTCCTAATATCCAACACTACATTCCCCTCTTTCAGTGTGAACCCATTACTCCTTGTCCTGTCACTGCAGCTCCTGATGAGCAGTCCCATGGGGAGCTCAACGCCCTGGGGTGCTGGAGGGCTGATAAACACCCAGAGATCCCACAGGTGGGGATCACACCTTTCTGGGTCCATTTTGAAGAAATTGAGGTGGTTGGCAGCTCCTTGAACACAGGTTTGCAGCCTGCACAGCTGCTGTGCTGCCTGGTACTGAGGATGATCTGTGTCCTGGGGAAATGCTTGTGTGACAGTCCCAGTGTGCTGCTGGGCTTGGGAAGGGCCAATTGCTCTCATGGGGACATAGAGAGGCTCTGGAGAGCAGGGTGGGAATATCACTGTCCCTATCTGCCATCGCTGGCAGGACATGGTAAACATGAAGTTCTGCTGTAATGTCCCTTTTTATAAAGGAAACAAGTTTGATTTTTAGAAGTGGAAGAGATGCAAAGGTATTCAGAAAATGAGTGCACCAGGAAGCAGACTGGAAAAGAGACCATCCCATGAGATGAAAGACTGTCTGGGATATCCTAAAGACTGATATGCTGGAGGCAATTTGATTACTGTGTACAAGCAGGGATATGAGGAAATGTCTTTTAATGCTGTAGATTAATCTAGCAGGCAGGAGCTGAGTGCTTAATTGGCCATTGAAACCAGACAGGCTTGAAATGATGCTCCAAGTAGCAAAGCCTTCCCAGCAGCCTGGGGAAGGAGGTGGGGCAGGCTTGGGCTCCTGATGCCTTCTCTGAAGGAGCTTAGGCAAATAAACACTGTGCTGGGAGTGGGGAAGCTTTGGATGGTGTGCAGGGTGCAGCCTTTGGCTTTGACATCTCTGCAGCTCCTGCTCAGAGCACAGAGGCTGTGGGACTCCTCAGAGCCAGAGGCACCTTCACTTTTTGCATAAATCTGGGGAACTGAGAGATGGGCAGCTCTGTCTGGAGACAGCCTGGCTCAGCCTGGGAGATGGCTGGTGATAACACAGGGACAGGGCAGGCTGGGGAGATAAGGCCCTGCAAACATGCTGACCCAGCTGGGAACACTCCTGTGCAAGCCCTGGGTGAGGAGGGGTGTCCTGGGGAGCTGCTGGTGGCAGTGGAGGGCCAGTGTGTAACTGCAGGCCTGGGGCAGCTGAAAGGTGCTGGGGGAACTCGTGGCCTTGCTAGCAGTTGGTGGGAGCAGGAAACAGCTTTTCCTGAAATGCAGCTTTGTGCTGTCCTTGCTGTCACTGTTTGCCCAGCTCTGTGCAGGGCCTGACAGCACAGCCAGCTGAGGACACAGGCACTAAAATAGCTGTTTGTGACCTTACAGCATGTAACTGTGGCTGAGAACTGCCTGCAAAGGGGAATTCTTCACCTTCAAAAATTAGATAGGAAGTTGTGTTTAATGTTTAGTCTGAAAATGTAGGATGCTCTAGATGTCCTTTAAATATTTGGGAATACTTTATTATGAATGCTATTTTTGACTAGGTTATGTTTCAAGTAAATTTGTGGAACTGGTGCTCTTTAGTTTTGCAAAATCATTCCTAATCTTGCCCTCCTGAGATGCTGCTTGCCTGGAACTCACAAGGCAAATCTTAGCAGCTCTCCAGGCTTAAACCTGCAGCTCATCTTCTGTGGATCTCTCTGCTCTGACCTGTTTCTCTCCAAATTTTCCCTTCTCCCCAGAAATAACCCATTTTGCTGGCTTCCTTTTGTGTTACTGGCAAACATAACTGGGCCAAAATAGCAACTAGAGGAATTACAATCTGGTGCTTTGGCACCAGATGGGGCAGCAGGCTCACACGGATGTCCGATGGAGGGGCTGCTCTGTGGGATTGTGTGCAAGATCAGTTTCCTGTTATGACTGGAATTGGCTATTTTCAATATTTGCAAGCAATACACTTCACTTCCTCTAGTTCCCAAAGGCAAAATAAACCAGAAGCTTTTTGTGTGTTGTTCTGCTGTGAAACCATGGATGCAGAACAAGAAAGTGTTTGGTGAGGGGCTGGGAGTGGGACCACCACTGGCTGTGCCCAGGGGATGCTGTTACCTGCAAACTTCTGTGAACCAGACATGGGAAAAGACCAAAACTTAGGGCCATGGAGGAAAATCAGACAATTTGCTAGAAGATTCACTTAGGGAAATACTTGACTTCAAGTTCAGCTCTATTTATTGCGGTGTGATGATCAAAAAAGTTCTGTTTCATTATGACACCAGAAATCACAAAGACCACACTCTGAAGACTGAGTTTTGTGTCACAACATGTGTTTGCAAGCTGCATCAACATGATGTTTCTCCAGAAAAATGAAATTATTTAATCTCTCAAGGAGAGCTTTATGGCTGTTTTTTATTGATGCAGCAATAATAAAACTTGGCCTGGGCTGCTGTGGTAGCTGAGGAGGTGGAAGTTTGCATAGGACAGGAAGAGTGGGAATGAGCTGCTCTGTGCCAACCAGTTCAGTTGTGATTTTTCTTTTTCCCAGTATAACCTTTGGTAGGGCTGTGCTGGAGCTGCCTGCAGTGAATGAATGTGGTAGATGGAATTGAAAAGATAAAGGCTTTGTGGTGCTTGCTGTGTTAAAGTTGAAGTCACCTGCTAAATTGTTTCTTTCATCTTTGAATTTCAAGTAGCTGCCTTGCTCAGGGCACTTTCTCACTTGCACTTCCTTATGAGTGTATCCCATAAGAAAAAAAAAAAGTCTTCTGTGTTTGAAGTGTAACTTTACATGTATTGAAGAATGAAGTGGAACTGAGCTGGTTTGAGTAATGGTGCTGTACTGTCTCCAGGCTTCTCACACTTCCTTCTGGAACTGGAATTGTCTTTAATTTTGGTGATATTTTGAATAGGCCCAGGTATAAAATGAATGCACAGAGTAAAGATAACGTTTTTGCTTTAGCTGAGTGTATGGATACCAATCCACTTAAAAAATTAAAGAGTACAGATGATGCACGCAAATAGTTCAGCAAGTATAGTAAGTAAAATACATTTGAACTTACCAGATCAGAATCTGGATATTAAAAAAAAAAAAAAAGTTTATACCTAGGCATGCATATAGATTTTTTAAAAAAGTAAAAGCAGCAGCCAAGTCATTGGGAAAGGAAAAAAGGCCAAATATGGAGTTTTGTGTGTTGTGGCTTCTCACAGACATTTTGTCCATTCTCAAAGGTGTTGAAAGATCAGGTGGGATCCAGGGAAGCCCTGCCATTCATCCTGGGGTGGCTGTGTGCTGCTGCCAGAGCTCCCCTTTCCACAGGCAGCCCATGGAAAGGCAGATTTATCAATGACTTTCATATCCTGTCACAATCCTTGCCTAAATACCACCCAGAGTCACATTTGTGCCCTCTTCTGCCCAGCTCCTCTGGGAGCTGTGCTCCTGGGAGTATCTCTGCCTCCACAGTTCTTTCTTCTCCTTTTTCCTCTCCTGGAATGAGCAATAAGAACTGTGTGAGCAGCTACACCTGCCCAAAGAGCTGTGTGAACTCTGGTGTCACCCCATACCCAGCTGGGCTTTTAGGATTAGGGCTGAGATTTTGAGAATGGCCTTCAGAACACAGCACTGGCTCCCTCCCATGATGTCCCATTGGGAACAATGGGACAATCCCAGCCAGGGAACAGCCCAGGCTCCTGCTCTTTGCCCCTGAAGCACTGCAAAAATCCCAGAACTGGAAAGAGGAGGTGTTCAACATGGATGTTGCCTACTCAGAGCAAGCAGCTGTCCTGCTCAAGGGATCCTTCCTGTCTGAATCCAGGAAGTTAAAGGATGGAAATGGCCTAACAGTAAGCACTGGAGGAATTTTTCTTGTTAGAATTTATTAGCCTTGGCTTGTCAAGGTGGTACAATAAAATGGGTCTGTGTTTGGTGGTATTGTGGGGTGTGCTGTGCTGTTATCTTTGCAACATTGGGCAAGGATAGACATTGTGTAGAGGAGGACCAAAAGAAATAACACTTTTATCTGAAACTCCCTATTTTGACACACATCCTTGTTGTTTCCTCTGAAAAGAGGAGAGTAACAAACCCCCCCTCCCTGTGCCCTGGCAGAGGGAGAGGCCGAGGCCGACTGGCTGCAGGACGCGGGGCTGGCCGAGCTGCTCGGGGAGCCGGCGGGGGACAAGGACAACCTGGTGCTGCTGTCCACGCTGACCAGGACGCAGGCGGCGGCCGTGCAGCGCCGGCTGGACACCTACTCGCGCTCGCGCCGCAGGAGGAACAAGCACCCCGTGCGCGACGTGCGCGACATCTTCGCTGCCAGCGGCTCCCAGGTGCGTTGGTATCTTATCGCAGGGGATCCAGACCGCTGTCTCCTTATCACAAAAGTTTGGTACCTTCTTGGTGTTTCCTCGTGGGCAGCTCCTCAGAGCACTGGCTCTTTCTTCTTCACAAAGGAGCCAACTGACCCCAGTTCGCTCGTTCGTTCGTTCGTTCGTTCCGTCCGTCCGTCTGTCCGTCCGTCCTTCCGTCCTTCCTTCCTTCCTTCCTTCCTTCCTTCCTTCCTTCCTTCCTTCCCTCCCTCCAGCCTTTTACAGCACTCTTCTTCTCATTGGTTACACCTGTGGCCTGTTAAAGTCAGGCCTGTTCCTCATCTTTGCTAATTGGCCCAGCTGCAACTCTCTTAGGGGTGAGATTACTTTCTACACTATCTTTATTTTCTTATATTCTAACCCCCTATTCTATCTTTTAGGAGATGTTGGCATCTCCTAAAAGAGCTTCTTAGTTGGGACAGATGAAAGTTTGACAAGAAAGTGTCACAGATATGTATGTTTAGCAGAAAGATTTTTGAATGTAGAATATGAAGGAGGAATAGAGATGGAAATAAATTTTGATATAGAAGAAAAGAATCGCTGAGCCAGTCTTACTGGATACCCTTTGTCTCCTTGGTTATGTTAGTTAGAAGGGGTTTTTATGGCTTAGAGCAAAGGATAAACCCACTCCAAACAAGAAGATGTTTTTACCAAGCAGAAAGATAGCACAGGCAAACAAGGCAGCAAATGTTGCAGGTAGAAAAAAGGTCTCAAAATTTTCCACTGCAAGAAAACTGAAAAACAACTTCTAGCTTAAACTGTAATGTACTAACTTTTAGTGATTGGAGAACAGTAACATGAATATGGTAATTACAGTAGTTATGATAGGCTATAGATAAAAGTTAAGGTATAGATTGGTTCTACTGTATTAAGATGCTCAGCAAAGAAAAGTCTCTAATGCATTGTAACCAAAACCAAAGGGTCTGCAGGGCTGCCTGCAGCTGGAGCTGACAGCTGTGGGCACAGCTCTGTCACCCACAGCCCTGGACTGCTGGAACAATCTCTCACTCAGGCTCTTACACTTCTTGACTCTTCAAGTCAAGCAAGTGGGGCTTGACTTGTCTTCCTGGGTCTAGGACTCTTATAGCAAATGGAAGGTGACTCCCACATTGGTGAGGGAGAGAACGATGCCTCTGACTCCATGGGTATCAGAAGGCTAATTAATTACTTTATTATGCTATAATATTCTATACATCTAAAACTGACTCTGCTAAGCACTCAACGCTGCACACACACTGCTCACACTGCACTGAATCTCTGCAAGCAGAGAGACTGTCCCCTGACAGTCCCAACACACACACACACTTGGCCCTGACAGGCCAAGGAAACAAAACACCAGGACTTTGGGTAAACAATCTCCATGTTGCATTCTACTTTTGCACAAACACAGGCACAGCAAATGTTAAGAATTGTGTTTTCTTTCTCTGAGGTTCAGAGAATGTGAATCTCAGAAATATTCTTGGGAAGAATTGTGCCTTGCTTTTCTCTGTGAAGGGAAATGTGGCTGCAGGCTCCTGGTATGTCTTGGCTTCCTTTCAGTTCAAGAGATTGAGACTGGAGAAATGTTGGTTGCAGTGTTGAGGAGTTACTGGAAGACCTGCAGATGCACAGCCTTCCCAGGCTGGAGGAACATTCCTGCTGTATAGTTCCTCGTGGAGCACTGGCATCGTTTGGAGCCCTCTTGTGTTGTCTTTGTTCCAGTGACATGTTAAATCACCATTAAACAAAACAAGAGCACTTCCCAAATTCAGTTCTGATAAGCTGACCTTGTGGAGGTGGAAATCCTGGAGAAAGACTAACTCTTCCTTTTTTGGGGGGGAGGGAGGATTGGTTGGTTTATTTAGATTTTTTTATCTTTTTTTTTAACTTGATAAAGAATTCATAACCACCATCTTTTCAGCTGTTTTCCTGTGGTTCTGATCTCTTGGTTGTGGCTAAAGCAACTTTCTTATTTTTCAGGACACAGCAGCAGAGAAAGAGGAGTCCAGCCCAGATCCACTGTGGCACAATCTACGGACTTCAAACACCCAGAGAAGTAAGGAGGAAGTTTTTAAATGCAGAATAGGATCTGAAGTAGGTCTGAAACTGGAAGGAAAGCCACACACATATTTAAGTATATACAATATCTGAAACTTGTTTGTGTTGGGCTGTGGGTTTCTTTATGTGATTATTCACACCATGGATTAATAAACTTTTCCAAGCCCCAGCGTTGTTAGAATTGTCACTCAAGCTGATCATTGTAAGTTCTTGAAAAAGCAACTGAAAGATGAAACTAAAATCAGTCTAGTAAAGTCAGTGAAACCTTATAAATGCCATGAGCAGTTGTGTAAAGAGAGGTTAGCCATAGGTGTGTCCTTTAATTTAAGGCTGTGGTTTTGCCTTGCCAGTGACCTGGTAATTTGAACCATAATGTTGTGACTTCACACTGATTACAGACTCATTAAACTTGGAAAAGTTCTCTAGAATCACAAGTACAACCACTGACTCAGCAGCAGTGTGTTCACCACTAAACCATGTCCCCAGGTGCCACATCTGCACAAGTTTTGAACTTTTCCAGGGATGGTGACTCCATCCAATGTTCCAATGCCTGACAACCCTTTCGGGGAAGACTCTTACCCTACTGATCATTCTATGTTGTGGGGACACTCTTTTCATGTGTTACTGCAGGATTTTTAAAAGCAGTGGCACCAAACTTATCTCAAACCTCATTTTTAGCACATTTGCTTTCCTGGCTTGCAGAAATTCAAGACAATTTCTCCTCTGCAGCAGAAACCCAGGATTATTCCTGCACAGTTCGAAACCCTGGGAAGGAGGAGGTGTTCAACATGGATGTTGCCTACTCAGAGCAAGCAGCTGTCCTGCTCAAGGGATCCTTCCTGTCTGAACCCAGGAAGTTAAAGGATGGAAATGGCCTAACAGTAAGCACTGGAGGAATTTTTCTTGTTAGAATTTATTATCCTTGGCTTGTCAAGGTGGTACAATAAAATGGGTCTGTGTTTGGTGGTATTGTGGGGTGTGCTGTGCTGTTATCTTTGCAATATTGGGCAAGGATAGACATTGTGTAGAGGAGGATGAAAAGAACCAACACTTTTATCTGAAACTCCCTATTTTGACACACATCCTTGTTGTTTCCTCTGAAAAGAGGAGAGTAACTAATTGCACTTTCTTACTCATAATTCTGAAGTTTTCTCCTCTCTGCAAATGAACAGGGCTGCTTCCAAAATTCAAGTAGAATTTGGGTGGGTATTAGGCTGCCTTTAACTTAGAAAAATTGGCATCTCCAGTATGATTAAAGAGCAATATTGAAAAAGGAAAATATTTATTCAGCTGGTGGTTGAGTAGGAGTAGTTTTGGGCATATGTCTGGTCTTGAACACAGCAGGAAGAACAGATGCCTGGTTATGATTAAAAAAAATAAGACTACAGCAAAAGTTGTTCATTTGTGGGATTAACAGAGATAACTTGAGCTGAATCTTTTGTGTGTGTTTCCCTTAGAGATTTAAGATCCCAAAGGGCAGACTAGGAGTGACCAGGATTGGAGATCTGTCAGCTCAGGACATGAAGAAGATCCCTACACTGGCCCTCATTGAGCTTACAGCTCTCTGTGATATCCTGGGCTTTGAGCTGAAGAGAAACAAAGCAGCAAAACTGAAAACAACAGGTTAGTTGGGTTTTTTTGTGCTTTTTATGTTTTTTGCATTCATCTTCTCATAATACACTCATCAGTTGTGTTTCAAATGTTAGAACAGAGGGTCTTTGATAAGAAACCTTGTCACAGGTGTGCTTTCTTTGGATTTCTCCTGGAAGTCAGTGGATCATGACATCAAGACCTACTACCACCTTTATGTCTGGCTGCAATTGTCCTGTTTAACTCTCTTTCTCCAGTATCAGTGTTTACAAAAGTACCATCTTAGTCTGCAGTGGGGGATTTATCCCTTGCACCTCTATTAGAGCTGAGGCTGAAATGTTGAGACAGACTTGGAAATGTTGTTTCTGTTGTAGAGAAAAGACTCTTTGGAGTTCCACTCAACACCCTGTTGGAAAATGACCAAAAGCTGCTGCCCAACACCAAGGTCCCTCTGCTACTCCAGGCAGTAAGTTCTGTGCTGGTTTCATTCACACCTCTGGTCCTCAGAGTCATGAGTCTGTGATAAGGACAGGCTGACTCCTTATCCTCTGTGCCTAAGAGCTGTTTCCCCCTCTAACAGCTGCTGTCCTGCCTGGAGAAGAGAGGGCTTGAAACAGAGGGCATCCTGAGAGTTTCTGGGTCCCAGACCAGGATTAAGGTATGAGCCCTTTAGCATTGTTTGGAAGTGTTGGGGGTGATTAGGAAGCATTTGCTGAACCAAGTGTTTGAATGAGCTGAATGATCTCATCCCCTCCCCAGTACAACCACAAACACCCATTGCTGGCAAACACTGCAGTGTGTGCTGAGGCTCTCTGCACCATTTCGCCTCCACGTCTCACCCTCCCAGTAGTCAACCATAAAATTTCTCTCACATTTGCTCACTAAAGCATGTGATAAATTCCATCTTTCTGCTAGAGCCTGGAGCAGAAGCTGGAAAGGGACTTCTACAGTGGCCTGTTCCGCTGGGATGATGTCCACCAGAACGACGTGTCGGGGCTGCTCAAGAGATTCATCCGCGAGCTGCCGGCCCCGCTGCTGACTGCAGAGTACCTGCCTGCCTTTGCTGCTGTTCAGAGTGAGTGCCTGCCCTGCCTGCCAGCACCAGTCTGGGCTGTGCAAAGCTGCCCTGTCAGGTGTGTTGGGAGCCTGTGGTGATGGGAGCACGGCACAGCTGAGGGTGGCAGTCACTGGTGCTGGGTTGAATTCGCCTTTCTGCAGCAGCGCTGGGCCGGGGGCTTCAGTTCTGTGTCACTGGAGCCTGCAAGGCTGCTGCATTTGTCAGGACAAATTGATCAGCAGTGACACACAGACTGAGCTGTGGGAGGTGGCCAGGGCACACAGCCTGCAGGTAATGTGCTGTTCTGCAAGCACATATCTTTGTTCACTAGTGGGATTAATAGAGATGAGCTGAACCTCTTGTGTGTGTGTTCCCCTTAGAGGTTTAAGATCCTGAAGGGCAGACTAGGAGTTTGGATGTGTTAATCTTGAGTGCACAAGTTCTTTGTTCAAAAAATGGGGAATTATGGGTTCTTTTGCTGCTCTTCAAGGGCATGAGAGTTGCTGGTTGATTGTGTACTCTGAAGGAAATCAGTTTTCTAAAACATGGGTGGTTCTCCTCTCAAGGACAGTATGAGTTTGAGTTGCTCCTGTGAAACAAGGTCTCAAATTCTAGATGACCAACCATTCAACAAGTAATTGTCTCATTCCTTGGAGGATTCCTGTGCTCAAAAAGAAGGGTCAGAAACCTGAATCCTCTGTCCTGTTGTTACTCTCCTAGATATTCCAGACCTGAAGCAAAGATTGCAAGCTCTAAACCTCCTGATCTTGATTCTACCAGAGTCCAACAGAAACACTCTGAAGGTAACTCCTTGCTTTTGATTTTGCTGGTAAAGCATAGAATCACAGAATTGTTCAGATTGAAAAAAACCCAAAACCTTCTTCAAATCTTTGAGTCCAACCATTCCCCCAGCACTTCAAGGCAACCACTAAGCCATACCCCCAGCTACATGGCTTTTAAATAGTCACCACTTCTGCCTTTCTGTGCTTTATAAGAGCTGTGGTGGTTGTTGCTGCCTTTTATTTTCCCCTCCTGAATAGTTCAGCTCCCAGGTATTAAAGGTAAGGCTGACTTAGCACCCTGCACTCTTCATTTAGAGCACTGGAATATATAATTCAGTCAAAGATGATCTGTCATGGCTCTGGTGGGGGTGTGAGGTGAAAGAGATAATCCAAAAAGTCTTAGTTTTCTACATCTGGGAATGGCTTTGAGGGGACCCCAAAAGAGAGGAGGGGGTTCATCTTTTCATTCAGAAACTTTTACAGCTAGAATTTATAAATTACCACCTGCCAAGGAGTAAAAACTCATCTGTTTCCCACACAGACTGTTTTTCCTGATTCATATATACTGGATAAGCCCCTCCTGATGTGGTTATTTGTTGCTATCCTAATATTAGAAATTGGTCACTCTACTTCCTGACAGGAGAAATGGGATTTGCTGATTTATAGCAAGAAAAAGTGCTGATTAATGATCTCTCCAGCAATTGCCATGATAGTAGTAATGAGCATTACTAGTATTGGATGGCATTGCTAGGATACATTTTTTGAGCATTGCTGGTAATGGATGGCTTACATCTCTTTCCCTCTTCTCAGGCCCTTCTTGAGTTTCTCAGCAAGGTGGTTGCCAGGGAAAAAAACAACAAAATGAACCTCTGGAACGTTTCCACAGTCATGGCCCCAAACCTCTTCATGCACAAGGGGCTGCCAAACAAGATCCCTGAGGGGAAGGAGAAGCAGCTGGCGGAGGGGGCGGCTGACGTGGTGCGCGTGATGATCCATTACCAGGACCTGCTCTGGACTGTGAGTTACACAGGAATGTGGTGGTCTGGGGCAGCAGTGTCTTGGTCCTGTTAGGATTGGGACAGGGAAAGGATAGGCTTGGAAATTTCAGAGGAATTACACAGCTGTGAGCAAAACCTCTGGCTGAATTCTAAGTCTCCCTAAAGGTACACAGATTTTCTTGTCTATTTACAGAGCTAAAGTGATGCTCAGATTCTTAAATGACATCCTTATCTCTGCTTGATTTAATTCCTGTTTGCACCCTTCTCCCCTGCCCAGGTCTCCTCTTTTCTGGTGGCTCAGGTGAGAAAGCTGAACGAGAGCAACAGCAGAAGGTACCAGTTCTGTGACAAGCGCATTAAAAATCTGCTGCGGAAGATCCACGCTGATAAAGACAAGGTGGAAAAGAACCAGGGAGAGGTGAGCTAGGGCCTGGGGAAAAACCCAAACCCCTGTGTGGCACTGTCAAATGTTTAACTGAGAACTCAGAAAGATGAAAGGGGAGATACCCTTGAAAAGAGCAAGAGGGACAAAAAAAAAGCAGAATAATGAGGAATAGTTTCCCAGATGCTTTTGGCCAGGTTGTAGAAAAAACTGATCTCAACAGCAAGAGCACTAAATATATTTCAGGCTACAAAACATTTGGTTAAAAGCAGGGAAGAGATCAGGAGCAGAAATTTTGTTTTTCCCCATGTTAAGAGCAGAATTCTTATGGCTCTGAGTGTCCCATGTGTTGGCACAGATACGTCTGCTGTGATAAAAACAGAGTTATTTTCATTTTTTAAAGCATAAATTCAGGCAATTGCCAAATTTTCTTTTTGCTCTCCAATGTTTGTGAAAATGGCACATCACTTGGTGCTTTCTTTCTTTGCAAAGGACCTTTCTGAAATTCAGTAGCCTGCAACCCGGATCTCTAAATTCCTTTCCAAGTAATTTAAATGAATTTCAGAAGAGTCATTCACGGTTGTGCAAAACAATTTGTCAGAATTTCTTCTGACAAGTCCTATTTTCATCCCAGCTTGTGTCAGTGCTGTGTTTGAACAGCAGAGAGCAGCAGCACTCGCTGATGGAGGGCACAGGGCTCCTCTCGTGGCCTCAACACAAAACATTGATGATTTATTCACAGTGCTCACCTTGGGGCTTCCATTCAACCTGTACTGTAAGAAACAAGCCTAAATTCTTGTTTAATTCTTCACACTCTCCAATTTATTTTGAAAATGAATGTTTTGACTGATAAGAGTCTTTCTTTAAGCACTTTTTTTTCTTTTTGCCTGCCTTGTTCAGCCTTCCAAGGTTGTGAAAGTCCACGCCTCACTCCTCCTGAAGGACTCTCTGGAGGTGCACTTGAACAATGCAACCAGGGTTGCTGATGTCTTGAGGCAGTTTCAGAAGAACCTGTGCCAGAATGGCTGGAATATTGTTAACACTGTCAACCTCCTCAAGTGGTAAATGGCTTTTTTCTCTGCTTAAAAAAGAAAAAGGGACTGAGTGGTCTGGCTGCTGTTTTCTGTCTTGAGGTAAAGGTGAGATGGAAGCACAGCGAGTCATGGGGAGAGATTGTTCTCTCTCCTAAGCCTAGGAAATGGTGCTGGATGGGGAAGGCAAATTTTCTTCTGAGTGATTCCATCCAGTGCTCAGACTGCCAGGAGGTCAGTGGTGCCCTCTGGGCTGCTGGACACCAAGTGAACTCCAGAATCCTTGCTGAAGGGAAGGGAGAAGGCAACAGCATTGACCCTGACAAGCAAAACCCCCTCCAGCCTTCCTGCAGGAAAGCATCACCTGTATCACTGCCTGGAGTAGTAATTCCAGTGTGCTTATGTTAATGTAGGGATTTCCTAAAATAAACTCTGCAATTCCCTCCTGTGCTCCTGTGCTGAATTGCTGAACTAACGCAAAACAGGAGCAGAGGAGCTCCTGCCCCCTCTGTCCCAGCTCCTGCAGGCTGTATTTAGTGGGTGATGTGGCAGTGCCTCTCCTGTGTCCCACGAGGTGTCCAGGCAAGGAGGGTGAGGGGAAGTTGGCTGGATATGGGTCAGCTCACCAACATCTTGCCTTGTTTTCTTTTTTTCCAATTTTGGGTGTCCTGCACTGTGCAGGAGGGTCAGCAAGGTCTCTGTCCCATGGCCTCTGATCATTGCTGGCCTCTGAACCACAAACAATCCTTTTGAAGGAATATTACTAAATCACCCAACCTGTCTTTGCAGAGATTTAACCTTCAGTGTGATTTTCTTTCTGCAGTAACAACTCCACAGAGTGCACAAACTTGCTCCTGTATGAAGTGGGAGGCAATATTGGTAAGTACAAATGGTAGCTGAAAATAAGGACTCTGATATCCAGTTTTTATGCTTAGCTTCTTTTAGGAGGCAGTTAAAAAAATTCTCTGGGCAACTGTGCCATGGCCTTACCACGCCAAGACTGAAGAATTTCTTCCTAACATCTAATGTGCATCTTCCCTCTTTTGTCTCAAAGCCATTTCCTCAGATTTGTGGAAATGCTTCTGAAAGGTTGTAATATGGAAATGAATGTGAACAAATCCTAGTTTTTAAGTGGGGGCAAAAGCAAACAAAAACCAAATCTAGCAGCTAAATGACTAAGGATATTTAAAAATGTGGTTTTTTTCTGAATGTCTTGTTTTAACAGGTGAACATTGCCTGGACCCAGACACTTACCTCTTGGACTTGTACCACATCAACCCCCATGCTGAGTGGATAATTAAGCAAAACCCATCTTGTCCTCGGATGTTCTAAGGAAAACACGAGGGAACAAAGCACTTGGTTGCAGTTTTTGGAAGGTGTGGAAATAGAGACTTTGCTGTTGTAGTGTCAGAGCAGACACTGCTTGTTTGTTGGAAGGAAAAGCACCTTTATTAACTGCTTCCATGGCAGCTGGCAGTGAGAGCACAGTGGCCTGAAACAAACAGCAATTATCATGGTGTAGCAGAGTTTGCAGGGGGAATGGTTGCTCTTAAACAAAATATCCCCCCAAACAAACCCTGAAAGCTAAGCTGCAGTGGTTGTGAGGCAAAGATGGAACAGAAGAAGAAAAAGATTCTCTTGAATATGGTGGAAGGCATTTGTGTATCCTGCATTTGCTCTTTCTTTTGGAGGAGAGACAGTCAAACACTGCAGTGGTACCAAGGACATCCCTTGGGTAAGGTCCATGATTGCCTGTGGCATTTCACCAGAAGAATTTATGACCCTGGGCTTCACTATTAAGCTCCTGTTCTGTTCTTTGAAGAATGACAAAGGATGTTTCCAAAAAGGCCAGATGGGATGTGACACCAGCACATCATGTATGTCATGGCTGCAGTTAAATGGATACATGCAACACAAGAAAATAACTTTCCTTGAAAAAAGGTGTGGAAAATCCAGCAGCCTTTCAGATATGCAGTGTGACAGGAAGGTGCCTGTGCCATGCTGGTAATGCACACCCAAATTGCCACTGGTGAGGGTCAAACATGCATTTATTTGGATGGACAACCAATATATCAACAGACAACACAGGAAACATGCTGAAGCTGATGTGAGGTTGGTAATCTGACCTGGCCACGTGAACTGGACTTCCCTGTGGAAGATTCTGTGTGGATGTGTTTGTTCCAAATCAACCAAGCTCCCCTGAGGTGTGAGGTGGCTGAGCTGAGCTGAGCTCCCCCTGCTCTGGCTGCACATTTCCACTGCACCCACACAGCCTGGGCACTGTGGGCTGGACAGTGAGGGCAGAGCAGAACACTCACACCCTGCTGCTGCCTCCTCATCGTCACCATCATCACCCAACCTCAGCTCCAAGAGCACCATGCCTGGGAGGAGGGTGCAGAAGTGTTGCTTTCCTCTGTGGTGATGCTGAAATACCTCAAGTGAGGGACCCCACAGTGCAGTGAGTGTGAGAGGTGAAACACCCAGACTGTCTGGAAATGTGGACTCCTTTCTCTAAATACTGTTTGTTGTAAACATGGTTGGATATTTATTCATGTGGCAGAAGCAGGGCTGCCCTGCAAGTGTATACTCAAAGTATTTCATTTGCCAAATCCCAGCTGCACTAGTGACAATCTCCAGTATTATTTCTTTTGTTAGAGGAGTTTGTTTCCATTGCAATCTGAATTTTCCCTCCTCTCCTTTTTTTTTTTTTTTTTTTTGTTCCCAGAATGAAGTGTAGCTTTCTTTATTCATTATCTCAATCTCCTAGATTCTGTTCTTCACTCTGTGATTATTCTGTCTGTGTGGCTGAATCCTCTTGGTGGTTAAGATCCTTGAGGAACAGGTGAGCCACAGTCCATATCCTTTCCAGCTTTCTGTGAATTCTCTATGAGTGCTGCAGATATCTCAAAATTATTGATCTATTAGAGAGTCTGTCTATTCTTTTTGGTTGAGATGATGCAGATGCATTGACTGGCTGGATCACCTTCATAGATCTCTTCTTAAGAACCTGTGATAGAACCTCCCAACCCTCACCCAGGTGTCAACAACTCTTGAGATGCCTCCTCTCTAGGGCTTCAATTGTGCCTGAAAGAGCCTGATTCTAGTGAGTGATTGATGTCTCTGGAAAGATCAAGCTGCTGTAAACTGGGGCTTTAAAAACCAAAGGTACCTGTTCAGCATCCCTTCTGGAATTCCTTGTGGCAGTGATGGAGTAAAGATGGCAAAGAGGAAATGCCAGAGATGTGATAACCTGAGAAGTACCAAAGGTACCACTGTGAGCTCAAAGTTCCTTTGCAAGCTGAATTGCACCCTGCAAATCACACAATGCTGCATTTTTTCCACCCCTCATGTGCTGGTTTATGAAATATTCTGTCCGTGTGTATTGAGGGGTCAGGACTGCATCACTGCTGCTGTGAACTGCAAATAAGGGGGGTTTTTTGAACACCAAACAATGTGAATCAGTGCTGTGAAAAACAAGGTTAATGGGAGATTCTCATGAGACAAATATCAAGTTTAAATATTAAAGGAAATGTAAAAAATAAATAAAACAAAACAGCTCTTTCCAGGTGATGGATATGCTTATAAAATTTTTTTCCTATCTTTGTATCAAAAAGTGTAAATTTTTCAGTCAATGATGTGCAAGACACTCCTGAAGGATGGCTTTTAATACCTTTTATTTTTTATGATTTTTTAATTCTGTATTTAAATTCCATTTATTCAGTGAAATAATAAAAACACAGTAAAATCTCTTGGCTGCATTTTCATTAGTGCTTGAGAACAAGTTGAAATGGCACCACATCAGTGAATGCAGCAGGATTTGTCTGGTGCCTGAAGAGGGATGAAGAGGATGAGTTTTGTGTTACAGCTTCAGGAGCAGCTCCTCTCTGGCTGATCCTGGGGCATTGCTGCAGAGGATGCTCCAGGAGGAGGAAGATGAGGTTGGTGTTGGGTATAAAAAGCCCAGGGAAAGGTGGATGGGAGCAGAAGGTGAGCACCAACCACTTCTGAAGGAAGAGGAGCAGTGGTTCAAGATTTCAGCTTGAGGAAATGTGCCCATATCCCGTGAGAAATCCCTTCCCACCCCTCAGTGCTGCTCAGCTGAGCTGTGCTCAGGTGCTGGACTAGCAAAGAATAGCAGGAATCCTGCCTGGATCTTTGGTTAAATCACCACTAAAAGTGTTCAATAGTGATGAAATGAATCACTGGGAACTGCCTAAAAGCACTGCAGTGTCCTGTCCAGCAGTGCTGCTGGGAAAGCAGGGCTTGCTCTCCTCCCCAGACACAAAAAGAAAGGGGGAGGAGGATCCAAGCGGCTTCAAAAAAGCTTCCAGAGCAATTATCTGAGGAAAACACCAGTTTATCAAACTCACTCCACCCATTCATCTTCAGTAGTATCAAAGTGCTAATCTCTCCCATCCCCAAGGGCTTTTGTGATTGATCATTACACAGCTCTCCCCTGCTCAGAACAGAAGCCCAGGATTTATTCTGAATGCAACTGTATGTTGTGCTGAGATAAGGGACAGAGCATAAAAGGATCTTGCAAATGTTGGTTGAACATAGATGTGGATGAAGTGGAACAGAAATATCAAAATAATAATAATAATAATGATTTTTAAAAAGTAGTTTGCCTTAAGTATTTGCAAAAATATAGAGTCTTCACAGGAACAAGTGAAGCTTCAGCTCTGGCAGGGAAATGTCACAAGTAAATGCATTTCCTGGAGCAAAGTAAGTGATAGCAACTATTGTTATAAATAAAATACAACTGCATTTGATTAAATCTATTTCTTTACCCAGTGCTGAAAACAAGACAAATTACATCAGTGGTTTTGCATGCTGAGAGGATGGAACCCTAAAGTTCTCTCCAAATCCTGTTTGCACATGAGGGCTGCACATGTCTTCATTGTGGGGGGAAATAGAGGCTGAAGTTCAATGTTTTAAGTCACTGGAAAAAAAAAAAGTGCAGCTGCACTGCCTTACCAGCTGGGAAAGGGCCTGGGCAGTCTCTAATCCCTTCAATCTCAGGTTTGTATGGGTTTTGTTGTTGTTTGTGGTGGCAGAGCAGCTTTGTGCTGCTTGTCCTTGCCAGGACAGTGTGATGTGGTGGCCCCCCCTGCCAAAGTCCTTCCCCCACACCTGGACCTGGGGACTGAAGCCTTTCCCTCCACACCAAGCTCTGCCCTCTAGCTCTGGCCAGGGGCTGACCCAAAGAATGGGAGTGCAGGAAGGTGTTCCTTTTCTCCCTAGTCCTTAGGAGTGGTGATGTTTGCACCTCTGTGACCATCTTGGCCCTCTGCACTTTTCTAGCTGGTGAAGCTGCAGGGGTAATTACCCAGGGGATAAAGCAGGAAAAGAGGAAGAAACCCAACAGAAATGCAGGGTGTGGGTGTACCTCTGTGAGTTGTATTTAATTGTGGTTGTTTTTCAGGGTTTGGAAGAGACACAGTTGCACATGAGTTCTGCTGCCCTCTCCTCACTCATCCACAAACCCTGCTCTTGGCAGGCTGTAGTAGAAACCTGCTTCAGGAATTCCCTATCCTGTGGAGGATGAGGATAAAAGGTTGGTTTTCCCTTGTTTTCAGGTTTTGCCAGCATATCCTTTCTATGCTGGAAGGGTGAGGTGAGCCCTCAGTGCTGAATATATTCCTTGTTTGTCCTTGTGTGTGCATGGAAGCTCTAAGCTGAACACAAACTGCTCATGCCTTGTATTGAAACCTAATTTTTTAAGCCTTACCCAGAGTTTTAGAACTCCCAAGGAGTGTGGCTGTCCATAACCCACTGGTGTCACCTCCCACCTCAGCTTTCTGCATGTGCCCAGTCAGTGCAGGAGGAAAGGGCCACCCTTACCTGCCCTGGTGACTCTGGCTCAGCCTTCTCTGGACACAAGCACAAAGTGGAATAATTCCCTTTTACTTACAACAAACTGGCAGAGCTGTCTCAGGGTTCCAAGAGAGACAATTAAAGATTTTACATTGCTTTTTTCAAAAGGAGAAATAAACCTGGGGGTTCCCTAATAGTCCTGATTCTGCATCACCCTCTCAGAGCGTGGTGTTGTGGGTTGCATTTATTATGAGCCACTTATTATCCCTAATTATTGAGCAGGAGGTAGGGCTCTCGGTAACAGGCAGAGTTGTGACTTGATGAACACTCAGCTGTCTCTATTTAAGATAAAATTACTGTAATTAACAAATCGATCAACCCTACTTTCGCTTTGCCTGCCTGGGACAGAACAAATGGGCTAAATGAGACCTATTTAGCACAAAAGTACAGAAAGGGGTTTGCAGACCTCAGGATACACAGACTCAGAGCTTTTTTTGTCGCACGCTGCTTTTAAT